GGGCAATGGGGGGGGGGGTTGGGGGGCAGAGGCCGATGTGAGGGGGGTTTTGGGGTGAAACGGGGCTGGTTTGGGGCTCAGTGGGGGCCAATTGGGGAACGGGGGGGGGGGTGGGGACACAAAGGGGCTGTTTGGGGTCACAAAGGGGGTGTTTTGGGGATCAAACGGGGTATTTTGGGGCACAAAGGGGCTGTTTTGGGGTTCAGGGGGTGTTTTGTGTCACATAGAGGCTGTTTTGGGGTTCAAGGGGGTATTTTGGGGCTCAAAAGGGGCTATTTTGGGGTCCAGGGGTGTATTTTGGGGCTCAAAGGGGCCATTTTGGGGTCCTGGGGGGTATTTTGGGTCACAACGGGGCTATTTTGGGGTCCGGGGGGTATTTTGGGGCTCAGAGGGGGTATTTTGGGGGTCCAGGGGCATATTTTGGGTCACAAAGGAGCTATTTTGAGGTTCAGGGGGGTATTTTGGGTCACAAAGGGGGTATTTTGGAGTTCAAGGGTGTATTTTTGGGCTCAAAGGGGCTGTTTTGGGGTTCAGGGGGATATTTGGGGACTCAAAGGGGTACGGTTTGGGGTTCAGGGAGGTATTTTGGGCCTCAAAGGGCCTATTTTGGGGCCCAGGGACGTATTTTGGGTCACAATGGGGCTATTTTGGGGTCCGGGGGGTATTTTGGGGGTCAAAGGGGCTGTTTTGGGGTTCAGGGGGGTATTTTGGGTCACAAAGGGGGTATTTTGGGGTTCAGGGGGGTATTTTTGGGCTCAAAGGGGCTGTTTTGGGGTTCAGGGGGATATTTGGGGACTCAAAGTGGTACGGTTTGGGGTTCAGGGAGGTATTTTGGGGCTCAAAGGGCCTATTTTGGGGCCCAGGGACGTATTTTGGGTCACTATGGGGCTATTTTGGGGGTCCAGGGGCATATTTTGGGTCACAACAGGACTGTTTTGGGGTCCAGGGGGGTATTTTGGGTCACAAAGGGGGTATTTTGGGGTTCAAGGGTGTATTTTTGGGCTCAGAGGGGCTGGTTTGGGGTTCGGGGGATATTTGGGGACTCAAAGGGGTACGGTTTGGGGTTCAGGGAGGTATTTTGGGCCTCAAAGGGCCTATTTTGGGGTCCAGGGGGTATTTTGGGGCTCAAAGGGCGTATTTTGGGGTCCAGGGACGTATTTTGGGTCACAATGGGGCTGTTTTGGGGTCCAGGGGGGTATTTTGGGGCTCAAAGGGGCTGTTTTGGTGTTCAGGGGGGTATTTTGGGTCACAAAGGGGCTGTTTTGGGGTTCAGGGGGGTATTTTGGGTCACAAAGGGGCTTTTTTGGGGTTCAGGGGGTATTTTGGGTCACAAAGGGCCTGTTTTGGGGTTCAGGGGGGTATTTTGGGTCACAAAGGGCCTGTTTTGGTGTTCAGGGGGGTATTTTGGGGCTCAAAGGGGCTTTTTTGGGGTTCAGGGGGGTATTTTGGGTCACAAAGGGGCTTTTTTGGGGTTCAGGGGGTATTTTGGGTCACAAAGGGCCTGTTTTGGTGTTCAGGGGGGTATTTTGGGGCTCAAAGGGGCTTTTTTGGGGTTCAGGGGGGTATTTTGGGGCTCAAAGGGGCTTTTTTGGGGTTCAGGGGGGTATTTTGGGTCACAAAGGGGCTGTTTTTGGGTTCAGGGGAGTATTTTGGGGTCCAGGGGGGTATTTTGGGTCACAACGGGGCTGTTTTGGGGCTCTATGGGGCTTTTTTGGGGTCCAGGGGACTGTTTTGGGCCACAAAGAGGCTATTTTGGGGTTTAAGGGGGTATTTTGGGTCACAACGGGGCTATTTTGGGGTCCAGGGTCTATTTTGCGCCACAATGGGGCTATTCTGGGGTTTAAGGGGGTATTTTGGGTCACAATACGGCTATTTTTGCGTCAAAATGAGGCTATTTTGGGGTCCAGGGGTGTATTTTGGGTCAAAATGAGGCTATTTTGGGGTCCAGGGGTGTATTTTGGGTCAAAATGAGGCTATTTTGAGGTCCAGGGGTGTATTTTGGGTCAAAATGAGGCTATTTTGGGGTCCAGGGGTGTATTTTGGGTCAAAATGAGGCTATTTTGGCTTTTAAGAGGTTTTTTGGGGGCCTCAACGGGGCTATTTTGGTGTCTAGGAGGGTATTTTGGGTCACAAAAGGGCTATTTTGTCATCCTGGGTGTATTTTGGGTCATAAAGGGGTATTTTGGGTCACAGTGAGGCTATTTTGGGTCAAAATGGGGCTATTTTGGGTCAAAATGAGGCTCTTTCGAAGTCCAGGGGGGTATTTTGGGTCCCAATGGGGCTATTTTGGGTCCCAATGGGGCTATTTTGGGTTCCACGGGGCTATTTTGGGTTCCACGGGGCTATTTTGGGGGTCTGTGGAGGTATTTTGGAGAAAATGGGGCTATTTTAGGTCCCAATGGGGCTATTTTGGGTCCCAATGGGGCTATTTTGGGTTCCACGGGGCTATTTTGGGGGCTGGGGGGGGTATTTTGGGGGGAAATGGGGCTATTTTAGGTCCCAATGGGGCTATTTTGGGGTCCTGACCCCCTTTCCCCCTCCCCAGGCTCCCCCGTGAGGCTCCAGAGGGGGTTTCCCCTCTCCTGGGCCCCCCCCATTGCACCCCCCATGGCGGCCGCCCCCCCCCAAGACAGCGTCATTGTCCTGGATGATGAGGATGAGGGGCCCCCCCCGGCCCCCCCCACCCCTCCCGGGCCCTCGGGGACCCCCCCGGCGCCCCCCCACCCCACCCCCAGCAATGGGGACCCCCCGGGGACCCCCCCGAGCGGGGGGGGGAGCAAAGAGGGGGGGTACAAGGAGGAGAATGAGCGGCTCTTTGGAGAGGTAAGGGGGGGATGGGGGGGGGGGGGCTGGAGTTTTGGGGGGGGGGCACTTCCTTGGGGGGGGCATCTCCATCCCCTCTATGTCCTCTTTGTGGTCTATATCCCATCTCCATCCCCTCCATGTCCCCCCCCTGTGGTCCCTATCCCATCTCCATCCCATCTCCATCCCCTCCATGTCCCCCCTGTGGTCCACATCCCATCTCCATCCCCTCCATGTCCCCCTATGGTCCCCATCCCATCTCCATCCCATCTCCATCCCCTCCATGTCCCCATTGTGCTCCCCATCCCATCTCCATCCCCTCCATGTCCCCCCTGTGGTCCACATCCCATCTCCATCTCCTCCATGTCCCCATTGTGGTCCACATCCCATCTCCATCTCCTCCATGTCCCCCTATGGTCCCCATCCCATCTCCATCCCCTCCATGTCCCCCCCTGTGGTCCCCATCCCATCTCCATCCCCTCCATGTCCCCCCTGTGGTCCCCATCCCATCTCCATCCCCTCCACGTCCTCCTTGGGGTCTCCCTCTCCCCATTCATCACCTCTTACATCTGTGGTGGGGTCTCCATCTCCTCTCCACCCCCTCCATGTCCCCCCTGTGGTCCCCATCCCTTCTCCATCCCATCCCCATCCCCTCCCCATCCCCATCCCCTCCCCATCCCCTCCCCATCTCCATCCCCTCCCCATCCCCTCCCCATCCCGTCCCATCCCCATCCCCTCCCCACCTCCCCCCTCCCCACCTCCATCCCCTCCCCATCTCCATCCCATCCCCATCCCCTCCCCATCCCCTCCCCATCCCCTCCCCATCCCCATCCCCTCCCCATCTCCATCCCCTCCCCATCTCCATCCCCTCCCCATCCCCATCCCCTCCCCATCCCCTCCCCATCCCCATCCCCTCCCCATCTCCATCCCCTCCCCATCCCCTCCCCATCCCCATCCCCTCCCCATCCCCTCCCCATCCCCATCCCCATCCCCTCCCCATCCCCTCCCCATCCCCATCCCATCCCCATCTCCATCCCCTCCCCATCCCCATCCCCTCCCCATCCCCTCCCCATCCCCATCCCCTCCCCATCCCCATCCCCATCCCCTCCATGCCCCCATTGTCCTCCCCATCCCCTCTCCCCACACCCTCCCCTCACTCTCTCCCCCTCCCCACCACCACCACCACCTCCTCCTCCTCCTCCTCCTCAGTTCCTGGCTCTCTGCACCCCCCTCACCGCCGAGCACCCCGAGGTCCTCCCTTTCCTTTGCTCCCGGCACCAAAAAGCCGGCGCCGCCTTCCGCGCCTCGGCCGAGCTCCGCAACGTCCTGGCCCGCTGCCTGCGCCGCGTCCGCCGCCACCGCGCCAAGGTCTACGTCTACATCAACGAGCTCTGCACCACCCTCAAGGCGCATGCCCTGCGCCGAAAGCTCCCTTTGACCCCCGTCTCCAACCCCACGGCACGACCCGGTCCTCATCCCGCACCGGATCCGCCTCAACCACCTCAACCACCGTCACCACCGCCACCGCCGCCGTCATCATCATCGTCATCGTCGTCTCCCACCGGCTCCAAGCGCCAGATCCGCTACTTGGAGAACCTCCTCCGCGTGTACACGGGCGAGATCCGGCGCCTGCAGGAACGGGAGCTGGACCTGGCCGAGTTGGACAGCGAGGACTCGGCCTACCTCCAAGAGAGCCGCCTCAAGAGGAGGATGATGAGGATCTTCCAACGCCTGTGCGAGCTCAAGCGCTGCAGCAGCCTCACGGGCCGCGTCATGGAGCAGCGCATCCCCTACCGCGGCACCCGTTACCCGGAGGTCAACCGCCGCGTCGAGCGCTTCATCAACCGCCCCGACGTCTTCCCCGACTACAGCGACATCCTCAAGGTCATCCAGAAAGCCAACGGGCGCCATCGCCTCGGCTTGGGCAGGAAGCACATGGAGAGCATGGCGCAGGACGCCTTCCGCGAGGTGGGGAACCGCCTGCAGGAGAGGAGGCACCTCGACCTGGTCTATAACTTCGGGAGTCACCTCACGGATCAGTATCGGCCTGGTGAGGGGTTGGGGGGGGGGGGATGGAGAGCGTGGAAGGGATCGTAAGAGGCCAGTGGAGGTGAGGGAAGGGTGATGGAGAGCACAAGGGGGTGATGGAGAGCACAAGGGGGTGATGGAGAGCACAAGGGGGTGATGGAGAGCATGGAAGGGATCACAAGGGGGTGATGGAGAGCACAAGGAGCTGATGGAGAGCACAAGGGGGTGATGGAGAGCGCAAGGGAGTGATGGAGAGCATAGAAGGGAACTTAAAAAGCCAATGGAGGTGATGGGAGGGTGATGGAGAGCACAAGGGGGTGATGGAGAGCACAAGGGGGTGATGGAGAGCACAAGGGGGTGATGGAGACCATGGAAGGGAACTTAAAAAGCCAATGGAGGTGATGGAAGGGTGATGGAGAGCACAAGGGGGTGATGGAGAGCATGGAAGGGATCATAAGGGGGTGATGGAGAGCACAAGGGGGTGATGGAGAGCATGGAAGGGATCGTAAGGGGGTGATGGAGAGCACAAGGGCATGATGGAGCCCATAGAAAGTGATGGAGAGCACAATGGGATGATGGAGCCCATAGAGGATGGTGGAGCCCATAGAAAGTGATGGAGCCCATAGAGGATGATGGAGCTTATTGGGGATGATGGAGCTCGTAGAGGGTGATGGAGCTCATAGAGGGTGATGGAGCCCATAGAGAATGATGGAGCTCATAGAGGGTGATGGAGCTCATAGAGGGTGATGGAGCCCATAGAGCATGATGGAGCTTATAGAGGGTGATGGAGCTCATAGAAGGTGATAGAGCTCATAGAGGCTAATGGAGCCCATAGAGGGTGATGGAGCTCCTGGAAGGTGATGGAGCTCATAGAGGCTAATGGAGCCCATAGAGGGTGATGGAGCCCATAGAGGGTGATGGAGCTCCTGGAAGGTGATGGAGCCCACAGAGGGCCCATAGATCCCCATAGAGAACCACTGGAGCTCCAGGAGCTCCAACCCCATCCTTGGCAGCTCCTTTGGTGCCCATCACCCCTTTGTTTGACCCCCCCCCACCAGGCACGGATCCGGCTCTGATGGACCCGGAGCTGGCCAAGAGGCTGCGGCGGAACCGGACCGTGGCGCTGAGCCGCCTGGACCAGGTCATCTCCCACTATGCCCAGCTGCAGGATGAGAGCGAGGAGGAGGAGAGGGGCAGGAAGCGGCGCCGGGTGAGCAGCACCCATGGGGCAGGGTCATGGGCACCCATGGGGCAGGGTTATGGGCACCCATGGGGCAGGCTCATGGGCACCCATGGGGCAGGGTTATGGGCACCCATGTGGCAGGGTCATGGTCACCCATGGAGCAGGGTTATGGGCACCCATGGGGCAGGGTTATGGGCACCCATGGGGGATGGGCATGGTCACCCATGGGGCATGGTCATGGGCACCCCCATGGGCAGGGTTATGGGCACCCAGGGTTATGGGGGGGATGGGCATGCATGGTTATGGGCACCCATGGGGCAGGGTTATGGGCACCCATGGGGCATGGTTATGGGCACCCATGGGGCAGGGTTATGGGCACCCATGGGGCAGGGTTATGGGTACACATAGGGCATGGTTATGGGCACCCATGGGGCATGGGCATGGTCACCCATGGGGCAGGGTTATGGGTACACATAGGGCATGGTTATGGGTACACATAGGGCATGGTTATGGGCACCCATATGGCATGGTTATGGGCATATAGGGCATGGTTATGGGTACACATAGGGCATGGTTATGGGCACCCATGGGGCAGGGTTATGGGCACCCATGGGGCAGGGTTATGGGCACCCATGGGGCAGGGTTATGGGCACCCATGGGGCATGGGCATGGTCACCCATGGGGCATGGTCATGGGCACCCATGGGGCAGGGTTATGGGTACACATAGGGCATGGTTATGGGTACCAATGGGTTATGATTATGGGTACACATAGGGCATGGTTATGGGTACCCATATGGCATGGTTATGGGTACATATAGGGCATGGTTATGGGCACCCATGGGGCATGGTTATGGGTACCCATATGGCATGGTCATGGGCACCCATGGGGCATGGTCATGGGCACCCATGGGGCAGGGTTATGGGTACACATAGGGCATGGTTATAGGTACCAATGGGTTATGATTATGGGTACACATAGGGCATGGTTATGGGCGCCCATATGGCATGGTTATGGGTACACATAGGGCATGGTTATGGGTATACATAGGGCTTGGTTATAGGCACCCATAGGGCATGGTCATGGGCACCCATGGGGCAGGGTTATGGGTACACATAGGGCATGGTTATGGGTATACATAGGGCTTAGTTATAGGCACCCATAGGGCACGGTTATGGGCACCCATGGGGCAGGGTCATGGGCACCCATGGAGCAGGGTTATGGGTACACATAGGGCATGGTTATGGGCACCCATGGAGCAGGGTTATGGGCACCCATGGGGCAGGGTCATGGGCACCCATGGGGCAGGGTTATGGGCACCCATGGGGCAGGGTCATGGGCACCCATGGGGCAGGGTTATGGGCACCCATGGGGCAGGGTTATGGGCACCCATGGGGCAGGGTTATGGGCACCCATGGGGCAGGGTTATGGGTACACATAGGGCATGGTTATGGGTACACATAGGGCATGGTTATGGGCACCCATAGGGCATGGTTATGGGCACCCATGGGGCATGGGCATGGTCACCCATGGGGCATGGTCATGGGCACCCATGGGGCAGGGTCATGGGCACCCATGGGGCATGGTTATGGGGGGGTCACCCATAGGGACGTGGTTATGGGGGGGGACGGACAGGGTCCAATCTGAGCCCCAGTGTCCAACAGGGCACCCCAGGGAAGAGCCAGTCCAGGGAGGAAGAGGAAGAGGAGGAGACGGAGGAAGAGTCGGAGGAGGAAGAGGAAGAGGAGGAGGAGGAGGAGGAAGGGGACAGCTCCAATGGCTCCCATGGGAAGAGGGAGGAAGAGGACAAAGGGGACCCTATAGAGCCCAATGCCCCCCATGGAAGGGAGGATGAGGATGATGAAGGCACCACCTCCAAGCCCAGCATCCCCTATGGAAGCCCCAAAGGGGACCCTATAGAGCCCGATGCCCCCCATGGAAGGGAGGATGAGGATGATGAAGGTACCACCTCCAAGCCCAGCATCCCCTATGGAAGCCCCAAAGGGGACCCTATAGAGCCCGATGCCCCCCACGGAAGGGAGGATGAGGATGATGAAGGTACCACTTCCAAGCCCAGCATCCCCTATGGAAGCCCCAAAGGGGATGAAGGCCCCAGTGTCCCCTCTA